TTCACAAGTGAAATCATGTGCGATTCGATTAGTCTTTGTGTACAGATCTATTGTGTAAACATCACTAGAAAGAGATTGCACAAATGCATATAGTCATAACTCGAAAAAAGGAAAATATGGTGGCTTAGGGCATTTACCGGTGGCGGCGGCGGTGGAGGACCGCCTGGTGGCGGCGGTGGTGGAGGGGAGGAGGCGGCCGCGGCGGCGGCAGTCCCGCGGTGGCGGCGGGTGACCGCCCTCCCCCGGTGGCGGCGGCTGTGGGGGACCGCCCGGTGGCGGCGGTGGTGGAGGGGAGGAGGCAGCCGCGGCGGTGGGGAGGCGCCGGCGACAGCGGGGAGGCGCTGGCGACGGCGTGGAGGGGAGGAGGCGGCCGCTGCTGCTGGGGCCCACCCCACCCCACCTCGCGGGAACGGGAGCGAAGGAGGGAGCACGGGGCGGCGTCGGCGGAGGGGATCGTCGTCCGGTGCGCCCGGTGCCACTGCCTCTCTCCGTCTCTCCGGTGGCGGCGCGGTGGTGGGGACCGCCCGGTGGCGGCGGTGGTGGAGGGGAGGAGGCGGCCGCGGCGGTGTGTGTGTGTGTGTGTCTGTGCACGATTTGAGGGAGGCACGGCTTAGTGTTGAATGCTTCTGTTTACCGAGTGCCTAGATGTACGGCACTCGGTAAACTCAAGCACCGCAGCCCAGTGACATGTGGGCCTGGTACATGTTTACCGAGTGCCCAGATCTACGGCACTCGGTAAACATAGCCCACTGTGGCAGACAGGTGGGCCGTGGCTAACCTTTACCGAGTGTTTGAGGTCACACTCGGTAAAAGTATCCATTATTTCATGCAAAACAAAAAAGAAAAAATACCAATTTAATCCTAAATTTCACCAAACTTTCACATGAACTATTTCATGTCATCTATTTACTATCTAAAAAATTCCAAGTTTAAATCATAATGTTGAATTTCACTCTTAATAGAAATCCTACTCGTCAATGTGAATGTTTAACATCTCTTTGGGAGATGTACCGGTTCGGCAGCGACGAATGTAAAAATACTTCCGAAACGTTATGAAATTTTTTCTATAACATAGATGTATGCTTCAATGTTAATTCTTCCAATCTCGTGATTTATCGAGTTCGATTTTAATTATTACAATTAAATTTACACGATATGTACCTAATTTTCATAAAGAATGAAAAGTTTGTGAAATATAGTAAATAAATCGAAATAAACACCATATTTTGGAATGGAGTACTAAATATCATATGTGGATAGAGGAAAAAGAATGAAGGAAAAACAAGAAATTTGGTTGAATTTTACCGAGTGTTGCGCCAATACACTCGGTAAAAGGTAGTGTTTACCGAGTGTTGTGCTGATAACACTCGGTAAACATGTCATACCGTGACGCCGTTTGGCCCACGGTTGCTATCCTAGTGACGTGGCACCTCAATACCGAGTGTCTGTTTTTACCGAGTGTCTTAATTTACCGAGTGTGCTGACTCGGTAAAGCGGTATACTACCGGGTGTTTATGTTTTCTGAGTGTTGGCACTCGGTAAATACTGTTTTCCGAGTGCCCCGACTTTTGACACTCGGTAATTGTCGGGGCACTCGGTAACTACACAGTCTCCGGTAGTGAAAAGGGTACATCATGTTACAAATATCTCATATATTACATATTGATCTACCATTCACTGGATTATCCATCACCAACTCCTGACGGTGGGTCCCAACTGTTTTACAACTGAACACTAATCAAAGGAGAGGCACTCCTTCTCTAGGCTTATTTGGTAGTCGTGTGGATAATCCGATAAGAGACCACCAGGCACTTGTGGTGATAAACATCCTTTATGCTTCAATCATACATCTGTACTGCAGGTTTCCAAGAGAATCCTGTATCTTGACCTTAGCAGCAGTTGTTAGGTTTTCCAAACCTTCTCTGTTGGGTAAGCCCACTGAAAAGAAAGAAGTGAGCTTTAGCTGAAATATCATGCAGAAACAAGAATGATGAATAGTTAAGCCCATCACAAAGAAGATTGACCTCGCTGTTGATCAACCAATGCCTGCTTCAAATGCGCTCCTGAGTTGTCAATTTTTTTGGCAAGGACAAGCAAGGGAATCACAGCTACAAAGTATCGTTTACCTGGAATCACGGCTATACAAAGCATGAAAAATTCTATGCTGCTTGCTACCAGCAATAATATCTGAAGCGAAATAAAGATTCAGTCATTAGCCTAGAGAAATCATTGAGTAAATCTTCCAGAGTAAACTAACTACTACTCGTCGTCTGCCAGGATCGCCAACCAAAATGGATCGAGGACGATGAATCAACGGCAGGATATATACCTGGATGGCTGGATGTCGATGTTGACATGGAACGCCATCACCTCGAAGCGCTAGCACCTGTCCTCCAGTCGGACAGTTCAGAGATGTGCCTCCGTACCCCCATGCGCTGCAGCCACAGCCACCACGGCTGCCGCCTCCGTCACTCGCCCAGCATCGCCGCTGCCGCCTGAGCCTTGGGCCGGTCTAGCAGCCTTGGAGAGTGCCTCCGTGTGCTGGGGATCGAAGAAAATAATAGGACTCTGGGGTGGGCAGCGGCTGGGCCTGGGTTGGACAGGACTCTTTCCTTTTGATTTCCGCACAGTTTTGCACAGATTACAATCATGTCGTGATGAAGACATAACTTCACCGGTTCTTATACGACCACCCCGATGATTACACAGTGGAATCCATGGTTTAGGAGGCGTCGCCTAGCCGTCGCCTAGGCGACAAGGCGTGGTAGAGGTGCTCGGCGTCGGGGTCGCCACGACCTCCGTGGGTATGGCGTCCGCCTCATAGGATTAGGCGCCGCCTAGGCGCGAATGGCGTTGGGCGGGAAATCGAGCGCGCGTCCGCGCCAGAAGACCCGCGGTGAGCGCATATATGCTCTTGCGTGGGAAATTTCCCGCTCGGTGGCATTTACTGCGGGTGCGGGCAGCTTCACGGGGAGAGAGGGAGAGGAAAAGAGAAGGCCGAGGGCGGGAACTCTTGGCGGCGGCGGCGGCCCTGCATCTCCGCTTGCTGCTCGTCTGCTCAAGGCCGCACCTGCATCTCCGCCTGGCTGCGCAAGTACACTAGCGGTCCGCACCTGCTCGCCTGTCTTTGTCGACCGGCTAGACCTGCACTCGTCGGCCGTCTGCAACTGCTCGCCCGCCTCTGTCGACCGTTTGCCGTCAGCTTGGGCTTAGACGCTCCCTGCCTCCTCTCTGCTTCGAGTCGCCGTCGCCATCCGCACCGCACTTGTCCGTTCGCCTCGTGTCTGTGCCTCCGCCTGGTATGTCCCCTGCCTCCTCTCTGTCTCTTGTCTCCCAAAGGCCAACTCCCAGACGTGTACGCTTGTAGTGTTATCTGCTCTTCGTGCTCTGCTTTTGCTCTGAATATAGTATACCTTGTACTCTGCTGCTCTGCTTTTGATCTGAATATTGTATGCCTCGTGCTCTGCTATTGATCTGAATATTGTATGCTCATGCTGCATGCCTGTCCCTGCCTCCTCCCTTGCTCTGAATATTTATTCTGCACTCTGCTCTGCTTTTGCTCATGGTGTGTGCCTGTATGTACTCTGCTCTGAGCCTCTGAATATTGTAAGATGAACTGCTGATGCCTGCTTTTTATATTATATGGGTTGTCACTCACATATACAAATGGTTGCTTGTGCTTGGGCTGTCACACACCCTGCTACAACACAAAGCACAAGAATCTTTCTTTGATTAGTATAATGCCTGCCTCTGCTATAGTGCCATTCACTTGTGTTCTTTCTTTAGTTTACTGTTGTATAGAACAAAAAACATAAGGCATACAAAGAAAAAGAATAATGCTTCCCATAGTGCCATATTGCTTCCCATCTGATTTTTTGTTTGTAGATGCATACAAAGAAAAGGAATAGGCTACTACACAAGAGATTGAATGATATTGTTTTTATTTCATATAATTGGAAGATGAGAACAAGGGTCGGCTTATGCGTGAGAATGCAGGCAAGAAATATGACCCTTTGGTCATTGAGGAGTTTGATTGGGACAATGAATAGGCTGATTCATTGCATGTGGCCATTCCAGGTGCTCGAGGGTCTGATGCTGTCAATGACCTCACATGGCAGCATGTTGATGAAACCACCGGTGCACTGCAGGGTCGTAATCTTCCTAGGAGAGCTACTGCTACTCAACATTATAGTCGTTCAAGAAATGTTCCTGTTCCTGCTACTGAAGATGGAGAAGAGGAAGATGAAGTTAAAGACCCACATGATGATGCGGAAGTGAGCGAGTGTGAAGAAAATGGCAATGTACGTGCTACTGAAGAAGACAAGGCTGCTGATCCTGATGAGTTTGATGATGGATTTTGAGTGCTGAAACAGAGATTTGCACTCCTGCTGATGGATTCTTTTGTGTCCTGCACCCCTGCTGTACTTTTGTGTTGTCCTACACTCTTGGTGTATGGCTTTGGTGTAGTTGACTTAATTAGTATGCTTTAGAGTTTAGTACTTCATTCTAAGTTTGTGGACTATTTGAGATAGACTATGATGTCATTTGTCATGCTCATGCATACACTAATGCTTGCTAATTTGTTATCTTGCCTCTTGTGTATTGTTTCCTATTTAATTCTCAGCAACTGATAACCTATTTGATTGCTGAATTCTGTAATTGTCGTGCAATTTCCTTCTAGGGAGATGGATGCTACATGGGAAAAAGAGCTTTTGGAAAGAAAAGAAAGGAACATGGGCTCAAGAATTGATAACAAACGAGGTATGTATGTGCTGCACTAGTATATAAAATTCTAGCTTACAACGCCTTAAAATGTGTGTATGGCGTCGCCTAGGCGTCCGCCACAAACGCCTGTGAAGGCGTGGCGCCTCAAAAACAATGGTGGAATCTACTTCAAACCTAACACAAAAATGCAACTACAAGCACGAGTTGTGCCGATGATATTCGAACTGAAACTATAAGTTAGATCTTCACGATGGCAACAACTTATTGCTCTATGTTTATATGTCAGTGCAGTCGTGCAGACACATGTCCAGAGCAGCTTCCTCAATGAGCAAGGATAGGATGTCTTCCCCAGCATCTCTGACGAAGCAGTCTGTCTCTTCCATGCAAATCAAACCTCGCCAGCCCATGTCCCAAACAGTATTGATCAATGCATCTGTGCAGCTGAGATCCCTCTCCAGCTTCATGTCTAGGCTATCTTTGGTGCCACGGCCGTCTTCACTGCAATATCCTTTCAGATTTCTAATCCCATTGCTGATGTCTCTCAGCAATTCCTCCAGTGAGAAGTATGCTGATGATCTGCGTTTCTGGCCCTGCAATCCAGTGTAACACAGACTGTTTTGCTGGCAGTGTTTTAGTTCCAGTTGTTCTCCTGCTGCGTCCAAATAGAGCTTATGGTTTTTCAGTTCAACCTTGGAAATCCTACTACATTGTTCATTCAGATCCCCATACACATCAATGCCTATGAGTTCAGCTGCTCTGCTAAGAAATGATTTATCATTTAGGAGAAGCAAACTGATCTCATCTTTTATTTCAGCTTCCTTTGTTGGGGTTCTGTCTATTGATGGGTGAATAGCATCTCCATCAGCTGAACTGATTCTGTAATCATGGATAGCAGATAGCAAAGTTTCATTGGGTTCGCCAGAATCTTTCAGGATGTCTGTAACAGAAAGGGGTTGTTTAGTGCAAAAATGTCGAGCTTTAAAAAAGGTGGAAACAGATATATATTTCAGGTTCAGGATGACAATGTGTATAGAAGAGTGCAAATATGCAGATCCTTACCGCCAACAGAAGATTCTTCGTCCCAATCAGCACTTGGGCATCCTTCGTCGCTAGGTGTTGCGCTATGTTCTGTCGATGGACCGTCAATTTGGTCCAGGGCATTAAAGATCTCTCTTTCTATCTCATAAGCCTACATTATGAGCAAAAGAATGACCAAGGGAATACGTTAAAAAAATATATATACACATATATTAACTTACTTACATCACTGTCTGAATGATTTCATCTAAACTAATGTCTTATTGATTTAGCTGAAAACTTCTAAAGCTAAGAATAAGGTCAATTACTTAATTTTCTGAATCTATGGACAAAACGGCAATTTTGGTTTCAATAACTTCTTAGCTTGTGACTGATTATTTCGCATGCTATAAAGGGGTGTAATATGCAAATACTGTGGAAAATATCCATGCAATGCTGTAAACCCATAAGAAAGGATGCATACCACTATTTCATCAATGGTGGAGCTTTTAAATTTTCTCATGGACACTCTCTTCACTCTGGAATTATTAGGTGGTTTCAATAAGTTGGGTTTCACTGCATCACAAGTACGACTGCTTCTTGATACAGCTGATTTCCGATCACGCCGTTTCATTACTTCCGCATTACGAGATACTGATCCTGCTTTCTCCTTTGCAACATTTCTCCCTTCTCTGTTTCTTTCACTTAAATAAGGTTTTTGTTTCTCCATGGTCTTCCTATTGATCTCAGTGGTCTCATTTGCCTGTTTCTTTCTGCTTGTAGGAGAGACTATCTTGATTTCTTTCGGGGATTTTGGTCGAGCTTGTTCAACATTTGTCTCTCTGTGAATTGATTTCATCGATGCAATCTCATTAATCGATCTGGTATTATATGAAGTGCCGATGCCCTTCTGTGAACTAGTAGAATTCTTTTGAACATTATATTGCTCTGGTGGCAGATTTTCTGACCTAGGCATCTCCGTATCAAGACCAGACTCCTCTCTGAATAATTGTGGCAGTAGCCTTTTTGACTTGGGCCTCTCAATATCAAACAGTGCTCTTGGTGAATTCGCTGTCTTAATCTTATCGTCTTTCACAGTGGAGTTACCTTTCGGTGAGGGCAATCCATCAAGACCCATGAGCTTGGCTACCAAGCTTGGGCCTTTAGACTTTCCAGGTTGTACTGCTGCACAAGATGGCAATGACCTGGGCACCACTTTCTTCTGCTGAGTAGGCTTGGACATGAGATAATTGTTCTGCAAGTACCGTGCTGACTGGTTCAAAGAAGCCTGTTCATTATTGGGCACCGACAAGTGGTTCTTCCTGTAGAAACTATCCTTGACCACATTCTTCAACTGATCAGTAGAATTTCTTAACTGTTTGTTTAATCCATCATTAGCACTTACAGGTAGTACCTGCTTGGCATTTGTTGGTCTCAGGAGGACTTCACGTATTATGGTGTCTATTTCAGGAGACTTTTCACCAGTTTCTGGTCCTCTCTTCTTGTTGGGTAGCCTCATGCTCTGTGATGCAGCTTGGAATCTCTCAAGCATCACAAGGGACTCCTGGAGATCCATGGCACCTCTTAGGAGGTCCTCAGCAAAATGCTTGGATACCGAGGGCGCCATAAGGTAGTCCCCATGGAATGACATGGATCTTTCCTCCCTGTAGCTTTGCGATGTGCTCTGTTCCTGGCCTTGGCAGTTCCGACAAACCGAAGGTTGCAGTGTGACAATACAAGGGACAGCACATTGGACTGTTTCAGGACAGCTGCCATCTTTGCTTCTGGGGGGAAGGCTCTTTGAAAGGGATCTGCAAACCACTGATCTGAAACTGTCTTGATGCATTATTGTATTTTCTGGAGCAAACAGAAGATGGAGGAATAATCAGATAGTGAACACTCAAATATTCCATGTGAGGAAAACGTGATCCTGTCTTTTCAGGAGACAGAAAATGGAATTAAAGAAATGATATTTTGGTCAATAAGAAGGTAGAAACTTACATTATCTTCAGACAACACAATTTGTTTAGAAGCTTGTTTGCTTCAGGAGATGGTGTCTATCTGGGCTCTGAAGATTCGAGAAAATGACACCAAGACAAGAGGAAACTGCAAGTAACAGGAGATCTAACCTCAGTATCAGAGGAGAAGATAAGGCTAGACAATTCTTATTCTAAAAAGAAAACAAGAAAAAAATCAGAGGGGGAAGCAGACAGTTGGTATAAAAATAAATTCTGATGTCGTACGCTAACAAACATACTCTTATCTTGCGAATTCCTGACATTTGCAAGGAACAGCGAAACCGCTGACCGCTGAATAAATAAACAGGCAAGGCAAGGATAGGTCAGGAAGCAGTTGGGGAACTGGTTCCACGGAACATCTGTGCATTCAGTAGCCACCTGAGGCATCCATGACCATGATTGCCGGAATTTCACATGGGACATGTTAAAGTCTCAAAGATGAGGAGTTGCTCACGAGCACTGCTTTTACCAAGATGCAGCAGGAAGGAGTAAGGAGGGTGGTGGTTAGAGATCATTGATTGATCTCCTTGAAACCAGGCAGGCAGAGAAGTGAAGGAAAGGCCCTGCCTGCTGCTGCTGCTATCAGATTGGATTGGGACAGGATCCTAAACCTAACACAGCCGGTCCAGTCTACCCTCAAATTCACAAAGGCCATGTTCCCACCAAAATCCAAACTTTGTCACCATGTAAAAAGAAGATTTCCCGTCACATCAAACTTTCGATACATATATAGAGTACTAAATATTGACGAAATCAAAAACTAATTACACAGTTTGGTTATACTTTGCGAGACGAACGTTTTGAGCCTAATTAGTCAACGATTGCACAATTATTACCAAATACAAACGAAATGGTACATTGCGATACAGTAATCTACAGTGTTTTCGGCGGCGCCGATTCAGGGCAACTAAACGAGGCGAAAGTTGCAGCAAGATCTCCTGCCATGAACTCCAGCTGTACTAATACCTGGACGGCTGGACGACCGGACCAACTAGCGACAGGATGGAAACGGGCCTTGAATCACAACCAAACTGGCAACAGGAGACGACCTAAAATTGCAAGGAAACTACACATTTCTTGGCCTCTCTGAATCTGAAGCCTGAATGGACAGAACATTTCCCCTCTGCGCACTCTCCCTGACATACCCGGATACCCCGACTGAAGAATCCCAGAGCAAGCTACAGTGAACAAGAGGGAGAATTTACCGAAACGGCGGGAAGGGAAAGGGGCAAGAACCGAGAAAAAGCACAGGCTGCGTGGGTTCCCGCCCCCAAACTGCAAAAATTCTAAGCAGAAGTAAAAAAAAATTGAAAAAATGGCACCTCTTGCCTCTTGGCGGGACCGAACTGAACTGAAGCCGCCTGAAGCGCGCGCTCTCGCTGGCAGCCTGCAGCTGCAAGTGCTTGTGCTTTTGCTGCAGGTAGGAGAAGGGAGCTAAGATCTGTGGGAGGGAGAAGCAGGCCAATGAGGCGAGGAATGGAAGGAGTAGAGAGAGAGCTACTGCTAGTCTACTGGTACTGCAACTGCTAGTACAGGTACAGGAGACTGGAGGCTCGCTTTGCCTTTATTACCTCTGGGCGCTGGCGTAACAGCGGCCGCCAAAGCTCAGCGGCGTCCGGCTTTTGATGGCAGAATTACTTTGACCAGGCAACTGGCATACTCTAATGGTGATACTGTAGTACGTATGATAGCATGTTCTGTTGATCGATTCGTATCGTTATTGATTCGTTTATGTAGGAGAGAAGTACTGCTAGCTGATTTTGATAAACAGTGCTTTTATGAGGAGGCTGGCCAGCCCAGCCTCAGCCAGCCATCCCAGCGATGACGAAGAAGAATCGTCTGGGTCTCAGGCCTGTGTGGGGGCCAGGTGTCATCCTCTAGCGGTTATCCGATGATGAACTACTCATCATCCATCGTCATCATCATATATAATAAATAAAGGCTAGACAAGTACGGCAGGGCGGACCACGGGAAGGGAAGCAAAGCAAAGACGTGGGATCTTTCAATTCAGACTGTACGTACTCCACGTGTGAAATCTTCGCGGCTAGGCCTGTCTGAACGCACTGGATCTTCTTAGGTAGGAGTAAATTGGATCTTCTTAGGTAGGAGTAAATTAATTAACCGGGGGGGACGTCATTACTCTTGTTAGTACCGCGTTTACAGACGAGTTGCAGGAGAGGCACAGTATTTTTACATACGAATTGACCCTGTTCGCTTGTGGGCTCTAGGGCTTATAAGCCGTATTTTTTCAACCAACGAATAATATTTTTCTCTCAGATCAAATTAGTCAATAGTACTTTTATTCATGACTTATCAGTCAAACAAGTCTAAACAAACGTGGGTAGGTGGCTCAGCCGCTCAGGTCCATGCTAAGCAGCACAGTAGCAATCCAGATCCATGGCCCCCAATCCAAGCTACCGGGCGTACTGCCGCTGTACTAGATAAGATAACGCATGCAATGCCACGCAACAACACAGTTTGAGAGACATTTGCTTATTATTACACCCCCTCGGTTTCAAGTCAAACTTGTCATCCAAATCCAAATTCTTTTCCGAGCCAGCACTGATACTCTGCTCAGAAGTACTATATATCTTGTTGCCTTCGTAGCGCCGAATCAAATAAACCGACATGGGTGAGAGTTAAAAGCCGGCACATATTCATTGGTAGGCCTTCGTAGCAGTATGTTGAAGGAAATTTTTTTTGAAGAGGTATGTTGAAAGAAACTAAAACAAAAGGTAGGCAAGAATTTGATGAAGGTCTTCGGAAGCGGAATGCGATCAATATGGCACATTGGCACACATCTTAAGTTGCCACCATATTTTACTAAAGGATTTACAAATTTTGTCAAGATCGACAATCTCAATAAACCATGAGATCAGTCATGCAGCGTATGTGCTACACTAAGGGTCCATCAGCACCATCCGCGTCAGAGCTGAAGGCCTTTGACAAGCTCTTCGACGGCAACCTGACTGTTGTCCAATGCCGAGGCGATGGACACGCTCTTCCTGGCCATTGGAAAGGGCTCGTCCAGGCAGCCGCGAAGACGCAAGGCCACCTCCTAGGTCGCACCGCTGCGTCGGTATTGGTTGTTTTCTTTTATGTAATATCGAAACAAGAGGCTTTTTGCTAGGATGGTCCAGCTATGGCTGTGTTAGGTCAACCTCCTTCGGCGCTCGATAGAAGCGCGTTGTACATTTGCTTAAACTCTTCTACTTAATATAATGATACGCAAATCTTTTGTGTATTCGAGGAAAAAAAGTCCCTGGTGATGGGAGAGGAGAGACGTGAATCTTGCCTCTTGGATGAAAATGTATAGCAGCATGTGCATGCTCCATCTTCACTGTTGAAAATTGTTTCAGAGATTTGTGCTGCTCACTCTACTCATTGCTCCACACTATTGTTTTGGATGACACATATCTTGATGCGGAAACGCTCGACCACGGGCGTCCGTCCCGTCGGACGTGGCTCCCAGTCTTGCCTTCCTCCTGCGCAGCGGACCAGCTTCTAAAAAAAGGAAAAATTCCCCACTCGAACTGTGGTGTCCTCCTCAACTGCTCCAAGCCCCACATCGCACCGCACCTCCGGCCGACCACGCCACCGCAAGGTCCCGCAGCAGAGCGCTCTCTCTTCCCCCACTTCCTCCCCAGCATGAAGCGCTTGCTTCGGGGCGTCTCTCCCGCATGGCCGGTCCTTCCCACAAGGCACCTGACCCCTTCCCTCGCTGCTCAGCACGCCCCGCGCCGCACCACCATATAACGCCACGCCCCCATCCACCTCACCCATCACATAAGGGGAGGCAGGGGAGGCCTACGGCTGCGTCTGTGCCCCCATCCACCTCGCGTCGTCGGCGGGCCATCACCGTAGTTTCCCACCAGGTAGGTCATGGCTGCCAGAAATGTTGTGTTTTTCAAGTGTTTTCAGGCATTTTCAGACATGTTGCAAGCCTATGTTTCAAGTGTTTTAGCTGTGCTAATGATGGGTTAATTAGGCTTAATAAATTCGTCTCGCGGTTTACTGACGGATTCTGTAATTTGTTTTTTTATTAGTATCCGAACACCCTCATGCATGTGACACCCGATGTGACACCACAAAACTTTAGGCCCCGGATTTAGAGGCCTGACTCGTGCTGCTGAAAATGAAGTTGATCGATCTGCTGCCCAAAGACAACTGGACAAGCACAAGCTCTTCCTCAGACTCTGATCAAATTGTTTCTTTTTTTTCTAGAGCACCCATGGACTGAACCGGAGCAAATGTGACAGGCTGCTTATGTGTTTGTTTTTGGCTCAGCCTAGTTGACATTGCAATGCGAGATCATTCATTTGCTTTGCACAAGCTCATTAGCATGTTCACCACAAGCATTAGGAAAGGACATCAGTAGAAGCTTCGACAAGTAGAACAAAAGTAGTATAATGCTGCAGGGGGGCGTAACTGTTGTTTATCAAGCGGGTCGATGTACATGTAGTCATCGTCGTCAGGAATTCAAGGTACTTAAAGTGTCGCCACGGGCGTAACTGTTGTAGGGTCACAGCAGTCAGTCACATGAGCCATCGGCCAATCCATACATACACGTGGCTGGACGCATTGCCTTCTAATCTGGTATGAATAGTTTTGGGATCTCTCTAGATTTTTTTAGATATATTTTTTCTATCTGTTTGAGCCATATCTAACTATTGGAACCTTGTAAAAATATCTTCACGAGTTATAAATGTTTTTTTATTCATCCTATCTCAATCTATCTCTAGGATTTTTTTAAAAATATTTAAAAGTTTAGAAACATTTTCAATTGTTTAATAGCCTTATCTAGTCGCAAAGGCGAAGGAAATTAGAGAGGATGCATAAATGATGAAAATTTAGATACAATCTTTGTTTTTATCTAAATTAATGAAATATATTAGATTTAGCTTTGACCCTACTCTTATCAGGTATATATTAGATTCTTTTATCTAAATATATATAAATAGGCAAAGTAGGCGGTATAGGCATGTCGGCTCTCCGCTGGCCGATAGCTCCCCATGGGCAAAGGCGAGCAGCTACCTCCGATCCGAAGGATGTCGTGCCTGGCAGGTCCTGTCAGAGTTGTACATACAGGTGGTGGCGGAGGCTGCGACTGATGATGATGATTTTGGTCCATGTCCATCTGCTGCTATTGCTTTGCTGTGGTGGTATTATTACTAGCATTTGCAAGGAAATTTTGTTAGTCGCGTCAGTTTTCCTTGTTGTGGTTCTACATGCTTATGTTGTTCATGTATGCCGTTATCAACAGGTTAACAGTCTAGCGTGATACTTACTAGTAATAAAAGAGGATGAATCGGAAACATTAACTCACTGACTGATACATGCACAAGCTCGATTAACGAGTCTTCCCTTCTCCACCGTTGTTGCAATCATTGGTGCTCCCACACAATTTCGAATTTCGATTCACT